GATAAGAACTAATGTTATGAATTCAGTAACATTTTCAAACTATTTTATAAGTGATTTTAACCATTAAGAAATAATTTTCTATGGAATAGTTCTAAATTTATTAGTTGAATCCATAAGTCAATTAAAGCTAGACCACCATGGAAAACCTGGAAGCACTGAACGGGCTTTTTTTCTTAGTATAGGATTCCTCAGCAGTGCGTATCCACGATCCTGCCTAGCGAGATTTGAATCCAGGATTTATCAGTCTTGCGTGCGAGCGCTTAATCACTAGACCACTGAGCTATCCGGCATCTAACGGTGTTAATGTCTAATTTCAATCAATCCACGCCATCACCCACCATTGTTTTAAGTGAGTTACTATCTCGGTTGAACTCCACTGGTCATTGCTTCTCACTAGAACTCCAGGAAATACCTCTTGGAGACCGTCACTAATGAGCTTCAACTGATTCATGAATCCAACTATTAAATTACTATAATATCCAAAAAACCATTCTCTGAATATAATTCTAAATTGTTTATTTGGCATTGGATAAATTATGAGTAATGTTATATTTCTAAAAATGATCAATTCTGTAAATGTTATCATACCGAGAGCTAATAAAATGGTTTTCGTTTGTAATTTTCTAAGGTTTTCTACATATCACTTTAGATAGATGTAGTTTTTAGATATACTACTCAAGTGAATGCTTGTATAATTTTAATATTAGAACTTTTAACTTAATAGAAGTTAGAACAATCGTATCACAATATTTTAAAACAGTTTGATATAGTAAAAATGAATAAAGCACTAACAGAACTGTTTGAAAATATAAAAACATTTTATTTAGACCTCAGCTTACTTACCTGCGATTAGTACCCCTCGTAAAGAAGTATAGGCCACCTACCAGCATTCTCCATTTAACTACGTCCTGGACAATCTTTCGCACTTGTTTCCAGTTCCTATTCATCCTTTTGATGTCTGCCTCCAAGTCCCGACGTGGCGTGTTCTTCGGCCTTCCACTTTTCCGCTTCTTTTCAGGCCTGCTTGAATATCTGGGCTACCTGTTCCTGCCATCCCGATATTTCAACAAGTTATATGTTTTATTGTTGGTTCTAACATATCATTAAGCCAATCGATCACATAAACTATTCAGGTGCGTTTGTAAAACGTTCAGAACATTTCGCTATACAAGTTACAAAAGAGCCCAATCAGAGACATCGTGGTTGCTGGCAATATGTATCGGAAACTATATACATTAATCAGATGTCGATACCTGAAATGCTAACATCTAACTGGCCACCGCTCAATATTTATCGCAAGGGTCGGTCAAGAAATGAGGAAACTTGTTAGAATACTTTGTGCTGACAATTCTGTATTGTACCGAAAACATGATATTGAATAAAGCCAGTAATAATAATAATCCCAAGTTAGGGCTTGCCTCGTGATACAATTTGGTGATTCCCTCAATTCGTATAATATCCACTTCAAACGTCTTCTTCTAATTTTTGTTTCATTTGGAAGCTGGTTTGCTCTCTCTCCCAGTAGGTTGTTGCTCATGGTATCTGGTCAACGGACATCGATTATGCTGCGTAGACAATTGTTTATGAATACGTGTACTTCTTTAATGATGGTTGTAGTAGTTCTCCACGTCTCAGATAGGTACAGTAGGACCTCCCTGACGTTCGTATTGCAAATTGTGACCTTGATGTTGGTTGACAGTTGTTTTGAGTTCAATTGTAGGAGTGCGGCCCTTTATCAACCCTTTTCCTTTACCCGGGCTTAAAATTGGCAGTAACTCTAGAAGAGCTACAGGCTGAATCGAGACATGAACAGGTTATGATATACTATGTACATTATTTATCAAAATTAATGAAATGTGTAAATTTAACATAAATTTGGAGCTAACCTCACTGATATGGTTTATATTTAACTAGTACTGACTATACAGTTATTTCTTTCTTTCAGTGATTCTTTTATTAGACATTGTCTGTGAAACAACACTGTCATCTTTTATAACCAATATGTGTTTATTCAATCACTGTTTCCAGTTATCATCTCACATCTCGACATAGTTCGTACAATATGGAGTCACTTGAACTAGTGGCCAAATTGTAACTTGATTGACAGAATTAATTTCGTACAAAGAAAGATTTTACATACATGACATTGGTCTCAACTCAATGATCAGTCAATTATAAATTGTCAGTGGGAATTTAGAAACTTCCACTGAAACTATAAATCCATTTCATGATTTCTTCAATTAAATTTTATCGAATTGATTGTTCACTAAAACTGATTTGCATGATTAGTTTGAAACAGTAAATGAAAAGATTCTCTAGACCACACTACTTGATGACTAATAGTATGTCATGGGTTTAAGTTTCATATTAATAGCCATTCAGTAACAGCGTTTATTTAAGAACTTGTGAGGGAAAATGCTTGCCGTTGAGAGATTTGAGATTAAGATATTCAGAATCATAATCGTAAATGGTGACACTAAGCTATGCAAGTTATTTCATGAAGTAATAATTGTACATAAACAAACTTTTCGGTTAAAATTTTAACTTACCACAATTGGCTTCTGTTGAACTCAAAGATATGATGTGATAATCTAGAATATTTAAGTATTAGAACAAATGTTAAATCGTTCAGTTGTTTACACTCTAGGTATTTTCCAATCCATCTTCCAATCTAAGATCGTACATTCCACCCAGAACGCTAATCAACAGGTATAAATTGAACTATTTAAAATTTATCATTTAATTAGGTTCTTGGTAAAGATTTTTCATTCGAGCTGACTTCGTTCAAATGATTATCTCAAACCCAGAACCACTGAACTATTGTTTACTTTTAATACAGAACTAATTATGACTATTCACCAGTAGCAGAGGTTCGAATCTGGAACATATATAGGCAAACAAAATAATTTTGGACGATTGAGTCGAAATCCAATAGTCTGAATTTTTGACTTCTGACAATCTAATATAACTTTAGTCAACTATCACACTTGCAAAGTATAGACATAATTGTATTACATGAAGGTTTTATCGAGCCTAAAAGACTTGAAATTCGGATGACAAATCATCTAATAATGAACAAATTCTACAGTATAGAAGTGTGTAGTAGTTTATCATACAGCTTCAAAGTTAATAAAGTATATCATTAAAGCTGAACAATATAATGAATTTATAAATTATACTTAAAACTGATTTAAAATAAAAGTAGTTTCATTCAGAACTGTCAGACCAATCAACCGAATACTATCAGTCAGTCAGTAACAACGTAGAACTTCGTAAGTATGTACATCAGTTGGAGTTGTCACACCACATTAGCACACAGATGTAGTTGTCGATTCAAATCCCGTAGTGGTAGAGGCGATAAGAGTATAAGCAGTAATCGGAAACATTAGGGTTTGATATCACCCTTAGAAAATAAATGAATATGAACCATTATGTTCTATGAAGCGTTTGAATTATATTTTACATTATGTAAAACTTAAACACCATGGAACTTATTACAGGGAGTCGTAATTTTTTTTCATTCACATCATTAATTGAATTTAGCTAAATAGCTTTTGAAAAGCAGATTATTTTGGACACGTGTTTCAACCTAGATTGGAACTTTTTAACACTGCACATTTATGATTCAATCAGATACGAAATACATTACTTTATGGTCTCATATTGAGCATGTTAATTTCAGAGTGTTGAATTGGCATTCAACCAAGCAATCTGAAGGTAGAGCTTTCGACATGAAACCTAGAGGTTCATGATTCGAGCCTTGTTAAACTTATCGGTCCACACTACTGAAAAAAAATTTGACGTTGAAATTTTCCATAATTCTTTAGTTGAATTAAGTGTTTAAAATCAATAATCTTTAGAGATTTAACAATCTTTATCAACTTTAAAACTTGTTAATAAATGACCATTAAAAGCTAGGAAGGATTGAACAGCTATTTCATTCTAATATGGGACTTCTCACTAGTACACATCTATGATCCAACAGGAGATAGGATCTTAAACTTTCAGTTCTGGATATGAGAGTCTAACTTCTAGACCAATGAACAGGCATGGAACCGTATATATATTATTCATAAATAACTTTCCATTGAAGGGTCATTTATTCACTGATTTTCAAATGATAAACAATGCATTGGTAATATATATATATATATATATATATATATATATATATATATATATATATATATATATATATATATATATATATATATCAGAAAGGGTCTTATGGAGATTGTAGTAATTTCAACAGTTGAGATCATGAGTTAATTGAAGCTAGACAACCATGGAAAACCTGGAAGCACTGGGCGGCCGTTTCGTCCTAGTATGGGACTCCTCAGCGGCGCGCATCCATGACCCCACCTCGTGGGGTTCGAACCCAGGACCTACCAGACTCGCGCCAGGAGCTTAACCAACTAGACCATTGAGCAGGCAGGCATCCAACGGTGTTAATGTCTAACTTCAACCAATCTACGAAATTGAGCGACACATCCACCATTGTCATAAGTGAATTACTGTCTCACAACTGACCTGGTTGAACTCCACTGGTCACTGCTTCTCACCAGAACTCCATGATGTACTTCTTGAAGCCAGGTTTTCAATGGCGGTCTAGCTTCAATTGACTAATGATCTCAACTGTTGAAATATATAAATGATCATTCCTTCATTTCATAGTAACTAGATCCCGATTTATATTAATTACATAACATAACTATTATTAATATTAATAATAATTATAATAAATAAATAATATATTTATAATGTCTAAATGAGTAGAAAAATTAGACTTTCTAACGTTTCGTGACTTAGTTTGAGCCACTTCTTCAATGAATCACAATGTTAATAACATGATTTATAATAATCCATTATCATAACAGTAAAAAGATTACTTGTATTATTTCATTTAATGATGAATTGAAGGTTACATAGTTACATTTATTATGAATTAAATAACAAAATAAGAATGAAACAACAATAGAAAACAATTTAGTTATTTTTTTTTATGCTGGTACAATAGAATGCCACATTACATGTATTTTTGATGGACTTTTAATCATTTCTTCCCATTGTTTTATTCCACTTGCTTGTGATGAATCTAATCCAATATGCACAGTACCTAATACTTTTTTTATATGTAAACGATTCACATGTCTTAATTGACAGAAAACATGAAAATTTTCAATTTGATTAATACTACTACTACTACTAGTAGTTTTAGTAGTAGTATTGATAGTAGCATTGCTATTCTTTAAAGGGATACTAATTTTCTCATTAAAATATGGATTAATTAATTCTTTACGTTTATGCGTTTTTTGACGATAAACAATATGCTTTTTATGTTTCAATATAATTAAGATATCTAATTCACGTTGTTTTGATTTAGGTAAATAATCATCTAGATTTAATTGTCTACATTCATATATACATACATCAATATGTGGTAAATTATTATTTGGATAATAACCTACACCAATACATAATTCACCAAGACCAAATTTATAAATTGTACCAGCTGTTAACCAACCAGTTCGTTCTATAATATTTCCAGCATATTCACTATAATCTTCATCTTTAAGATATATTTCTAATTTACCAATACTAATATCTTGACATATACTATCATGAGCGAATACTTCATATATAATGACAGTATGATTAAGATCATGTTCTTCTACATCATATGTAAATGATTTTTTCCAAACTGGTCGATTTGTATTCAATACAATATTAGTTCTTTCTTGTTTACCAATAATACGTAAATTATGTCCATCATATTTAGCTAATGTAACTGTTGTATATGGATCTAATGAATCAGAACTAATTGGTCCAATTAAATTATTCGCTTGTAATACACCAACTTTTAATTGTTTACGATCTATATTATATTCTAATGAATATTCAATTGATCCATATTTATATTGTTCATTATTTTGTGTTAAACCAGGTATTTCATCAATATATATTCCTTTTGGACGTTTACGTAATACTTTTGGAACATATTTACGTCTTATACAAGCACGTATACATAATAAGATAATAATAATAAAGAATAAACAAGCAATACATACACAAATAAATAAAAATACAGCCAATGGTTTATTGATCACATGAAATGATTTAGTTAAGTCAATTACAAATGGATTTGTTTCAAATGATGATGAATTCGATGTTATATTTGTAGCTTCAGTATTATTTAAAGGAATCATAGTACTAGTCATTTCTATAGTGGTCATATTTGATAATATTAATAGATCAATGGAAATTTGTAAACTAATCGATCATACATCATCAGATGGTTAGTGTAGTTCAAGTTAAGAGAATGTGTTGAATAGGTTCGATGAAGTACTAAAATCTCATTTGTTTAAAGATTGATAAAATGATCATTTATCAAGTGATAATGCGGTTAATTTAATTTCTATGCTTCATACATATTCGTTTCTATGATATTTATCATTTTGTGAACAATATTTGTGAATAAGTAATTGGTTGTTTGTTACCAATATTTAAAAAAAAATTATATGCACACATAAATACTCCTGTTTTATGGGGGCGTATCTATTCTGAGTTGATTCGTTTATTATTTTTTTAAAATAGAAATAACTGCATCAACCAGTAAAGTGTAGTTTCTATTCAATCAATAAATGTTTTGTGTTTTTTTGTTGTTGTGTGCTTTTTTGAGAATGATCGGTATAGGGGTTGTGGAGATTAGTAAGTTTTTGATTGAGATCATGAACCGATTGATGTTAGACCACCATAATTGAAAACCTGAAAGCACTGGACGGCTTTTTCGTCCTATTGTGAGACTCCTCAGCATCGCGCATCCACGATCCCGCTCGCGAGATTCGAAACCAGGGTATTCAGTCTCGCACGCGGACACTTAACCTCTAGGCCACTGAGCCGTCATCCAACGGTGTTAATGTTTAGCCTCAACCAATCCAACAAATTGCACGACCATCTTCCATTGCACTGAGGTAGATACCTGTCTTTACCGGACACAGATTAGATCCACTGGTCAAGGCCTCTTACTAGAACTCCGAGAATTCCCTCACGAAGCTAGTCGCTAGTGAGTACATGATAATTATCAGTACAGGGTTGTGGAGATTATTAAGTTTTTGATTTAGATATTTATTTTTAGTATAGTCAACGAAATGTAATATATCTTCATGGATTAACAATCTAATTATAATTTCACTTATAATGGTTTGGATTATTCTGTTGTTGATATTCAGAACTGAATTTTGATTAGTCTTGGTTGAGATATGTGAATCTTGTGTGGAGCATCTCGATATAACCAATTATTTCACAAGTTTATATAGAATAGATGGATTATGGCTAACAATCAAAGTCAGAGTAGATCGAAATTCAGTTCTGAATATCAACAATGGGATGATTCAACACATTACAAATTAAGTTTCGATCAACTTATTAGATTTAGTAATCACTGTTGATTGTCGTTTATCGGAAACTGAGACTATTCAGGTTTGACTATGATCTCCAAAGAGACAAATAAAAAATCCATCTAGATGACTCCCCAACATACGTGAATAGCTAATACACAATGAATTTCAACTCAATCGTCAAAAGTATCTTGTTAACTGATTGACTTCTAGGTCCTGGATTCTAAATCATTGATAAGGTTATGGGTCTGGATTGTTATAGATCCTCAAACTGTAATGAAGTAGCAGGTCAAATTTATTCAACATCTCTTAAGTCTAGAGTAGTTTGAGACATCATTTACCTAGAAATCATAAAAAGATCCCCCTTCAAATCCATTTAAATATATGACCGTCACTGAAAAAAAGCTAAATCTAACTGACTCAACAAGAATTCTTTATTCAGACGATCGATAATATCACTGGAAATCCTGTATGTTTTCTGAAATCAGCAGTTATTTAACTCTGTGAGATTTTTAAATATCTCATTATTATATATTTTAATAACATTGTCAACATCAACATCGTACATTATAAATGAATGGGAATTCGTTTATTAACCTTTATTCTATAGTAATGGCCAATAAATGAATTTTAAACTAACACAATCCACTTAAACAAGGATATCAATCAGATTATGGTTGTAGGTGCTACTTGACACTCGTCAGCAAAGTGTACCTGTAATCTTAAGGGAACTGGTGCTCCCTGACGGATTCGACTCCGGGATCTGCACTAAGAAGGACTTGACACACATGATATCGGTCACCACCCAGTGATCAAGCAATTGTGAAGGATATAAATCTTTTCACACTTGAATTAGCATCTTGAAAATAGAATAATAAATTGAGATAAATTTACAAAACAATCCTTACATTATTAGTCAGTTTGTATTATAAAATTCACTAATTTTTATTTTGAAAAGTAAATTAAATCATTGATGGAGGAAAGTGGTGATTTCAAAGAAGTTAAGCTTTGAATAAACTGAATAGTTACTTGTTATAAAATTTTGGATAGTTACTTCGTTCTAGTCGAGAGTCATTAACTGAATGTACTTGTGTGGTGTGTGTTACTTATATTAACATAAGTAGTAGATGATGTTAGTCGTGAACAGAAGGTCTGGTAGCAGAGAAACAAAAGGATCGAATAGTAAAGGATGGAAACAGGATGCAGTCTGTATAAAAATGAAAGAACACTGAAGTCTGAGTCATCATGAGACAACTGATGGACATTTTGCAAATTAAGCATTTACTTGATGATTATTAGATTTTATTAATAAGTCCTGTAATTTTGTGTTAAATACCCGTGTTCTGTTCACTACACCTGGATCCCAATATTTATATTGACATATCGAAGCAATCTTCTCTCTAACAAAAACGAATCAAATGCATCCATAGATAACAACAACAACAGCGGATTGATCAAACTTGACTAATACCTTTATAACTGTTGAACAAATTATTGATAACCTGAACTCAACATGTTAATCAACATAACGTTGATGTTTAAAAGAAAAGGTACTGAACTCAATTCATAATATGAATATCAGTACTAGGGTATAGATAAGTCTCAAACAGAGCAAAACTTAGGTATTGGGTTCCATGAAATGACTAAATTCTATTTTATTGAATTATTACTACTATTTATTTCTTATTAATTAGCTTTAATAATCTTAGGGTAAAGCAATATCAAAGTATGCCTAAGGGAAATTTCTAATACATTTCATATGATTTATTATTTAATCCTTTGAATTATGGTAAATGTTTAATGAAATAGCAAGATATTATGAGTATACAATAGAATAACCCACATGAAATTCGTTCCCTAAAAACCTAATTGATCCGTATATTGATGAGTTCTAACCATATGGTATTCTATGATCCAATTTAATTTGTACATAATTGGTATGATAGGGCTTGTACATTTCATATATATAGTAGCTTTAATTACCTGTTTTCTAAGCCTTAAATTTTGGTAGAAAGTTACAGAATTTCTAATGTATATTCATTCATTTTCAACGCACATGATGAGTTCCACTAAATATGATTAGTACTTACATTTCTACAACTTCCACAGACTTCCATAATCATAATATTATCTATTGCCTGAGTATATAACGTTGTTCACTTTCATGTAACTGGTAAGACAATTTTTGTATAAACAATTGATGAAACTCTCAACATTTGATGAAGTTTTAAGCCATCTTATTGAGACAACATGGATTTTAATTCAGTTGATAATTGTATTTACAGACGTTGTTAAGTCCACTCAAGTTTTCAGACCAAACTTATGACCCAGTCATAAAATCTAACATCAAAATAAATGATTCACTACGGATCAATCTTAAATCATCAATTAAAACCTGGAAGCTCTGAACAGCAGTCCACTGCTGAGGAGTCCAATACTAAGATGAAACGGTCATCCAGTGCTTCAATGTTTTCAACGTTGATCTGGTATTGATCGATTCACGATTTTAATAAAATTTAACAATTTCCACAACTCCATACTGTTATTAACAACTAATGTATTTTACTAACCTCAATTTCTAAGGTGTCTACGCCCATCATTGTATGATCGATGACGGGTTGATTTCTGCAGGAGTTAGGAAAAAGATTATTGATAAAATATAAAATAAAGTAGGTGGAATTAAGTAGATGTGGTAATTTCATAATTGTAGTCAACAAATTTAAATGACAACTATACACGTAAAAATAAGGAACTACTTACGAACAAACAAATAGCTATTGTGCAAACGAAAAACGAAGATAACTGTTGAGATTGTTAAGAGGTAACAATTGAAGTACTAACTGGATGAAATTCACAGATTTATTTAATATTTAGAAATAACAATAAGGAAGAGCTATTTGTTCAAAACATGATTGATAATAACATCAGTTATTAAATCTTAATAAGTAATATAATTTTACACACAAGAAATACCAAATAAGAAGGTAATGAAAATGAGACAAATCGAGGTTTAATAGATCACATGTTATAAATTCGGTTTAGGATGCTAATTTACTTACAACTACATTATTTAATCGCGGTTAGGATAAAAACCAAATGATTATTATTTAGAATGAGAATCGATATATGTAGGATAATCAATGGAAACCTGGAAGTACTAAAGGGGCGTTTCATCCTCATGTGGGACTCCTTAGAAGTATGTACCCGTGCCCTCTCTACTCATGGCTTTCAGTCTCACGTGAGAAGTTCCAGCTTCTAAATCAATTAACCGTAAGTTCAATCAGGGTTATAGATGTGTCTTATTAACTAATACCAACTAGAAAGAAACTTAGTTTCACGATTTCTTACTGACTACCTAATAACACTAAATACTTTATTACATTTATGATTTTACATTACGTGAACATCAGAGATTTAGATAGAATGATATGTACACTAAAAACGTATGTGAATGCTATGCAAACTTAGAATACACCAACGGGTTGTTGGAATTTAAATTAATAATTTTTTCAAACTGGAATAAGCTGATAGCGAAAAGTCTGAAGAATAGGTAAGCTGTAACTTTTACATAATAGGGCTGTACTTCAGTCGGATCAAATCTTTGTTGCAATTTTTGGCTAATGTTATGAAGTATATTGAGTAAGTGACCTAAATAGAGTTGATACATGTATCAGGTGATCAAAAAGTTAGTGATAAATTTATTTATTATTAAAGGTGAGTAATGCTTCTGTCAGAGATGATATATTTTTGAGGCCATCAGAGATGAAACCGATCACTGTCTTTACAATAAGGTTGTTTTTCTACAGGATAAGGTTACAAACCCATACACATTTCTC